CCTCAGCTGTCAGCTGCCTGCCCACTTTTCACTGCATGCTGATTTAGAAAACCACCGCAGTCCTTGATAAAACAAACAAAAATAAATGAATGAATAAAAATGTTGGTTTTAATCATAATTTAAAACTATAAGGCTGCAGTTAATGAATACTTTAATTACTTCTATTTCCTATAATTTAAAGGCGTGTGTTCAGGGACTATAAGCTTGTAAACTAAGGGTTGTATACACACTATTGTTTTATATGTCTGTATTGTTCATGTCATACAATTGGTTCTTTTCTGCCTCTTTGATATGTGTTGCCGTCTCTTCATTTCACCCCTTTTCTACAACTTCATTTTCTGTCTACAGCTCCTGCAAGTCATGGGAGTTGCAAAAGCATTTAATACTTTAATGTTCTTTGAATACAAGCATCCACCAAGTGATCGATACAACCCTCCATTTATCTTTCCTTCATACTATCCCCCCACCCACCCACTATGCTGTGCTTGCTTTGCTGGTTTACATCATGGCAGCAGTAGCCTGATCACTGTCAGGTATACAACCCATGAATGTTGTGACATCACCCTGTCAGGCCTCTTACAGCTTCAGTGTGATAAAAACAAGAAATGCATGATCACCTACACAGTTTATTTGATCAGTCAAAAGACATTTGGATGGGAGAGTTGTTCTGGGTTGTTGTACACATCATTAGCATAACAATAGCCGCTAAAAGTAAAAATGCATACATCTGTGTGTGAAAACTGAAGTGATGTGGTGAAAAATGCCTGAATTTGTCTACTGTGTAATAATACACTCTAAATATCTTGTTTTCATGACACAGCGGTTCTGTCAGCGCAGCTTGTCTTGTGAGCAGAAGACTGTGTAGTTTTTCACATACACACACACCCAAACACACCCAAAGATAAAAGTCGACAAGAAGCCTGTTGATTATAAGACACATCAGACGTCTGCTTCACTCCTCTAGCCTCCCTGGTCTTTCTCACACACACAGGCCTTTGAGCGCATGCCAGAACAGATATCAAGTTGTGCCTGGATGGCTCTGTACAAAGGCTCTGTCTCTTTCACACTCCGCTCTTTCTCTCATTGATCTGACCTGCTCTGTTTGTGTTTTTTCATGCTCTCTTCCTCTGTCTCACAACAGGATAAGGGAATGACCTCATGCATATTATGTCAGTTGTTGTCTTGGCCAATAATGATAAACGCTAAGCAGCTCAAAATGTTACCTTTTACTCAAACAGATCCTCTAATAGGTGTCTTTTGTGCAGACAATAAGTGCATGCTTGATGCTTAAATGAGCTTGTGTGCAAGGTTATGTGCAGTTGGATTGTCAGTGCCAAATGAATCCTGCGTTATAATCCTGTAATTATGAATGAGTGTGCCTGTGTGTGTGCATCCATGCACAGCTGCACACGGGGGTCTCCAAACTGTAGGTGTTTGTGACCTACAGCATGTTAACCTTGGCTGGCACCAAACCTGAGACTTGTCCAGATGCCAGGCAAACACAGGTTTCCTCTGTGTCAAGATTATGTATACGTTTTAGTTGCCCTGTGAAATCCTCCTCTGCATTATTCCCAAAAGGCTCCCATATCTACAGCTGGCCTCAAAGCAGTGGCAGGCCTTGACAATGCACTATCAGTGACCTGCAGAGAGAGACCAGGCTCTGGCAGGTATGGCAACGAGTCTCGCTTAAAAAGTTGTGAAATTTAAACTGACTGAATTTGCCATGGCAAATTGTGTTTGCCAGGAAAACACAACATGTTGTGCTGCTGTGTAAAATTGCTTCTTCACAGAAAATATGGGTTACTTTATTAAAGATCTGGGACTGTGGGGAGTGATAATCTAGAACTTTAACAAGGCTTTTTAAGATGCCACAAAAAACTGTTTTTGTGCAAGCACTTTAATTTAGCACATGTTGTGGACAGATCATATACTGACAGCAGCACCTCTGGGTCTCCTCATGCCAGTTTCTTTATACACACACACAGACAAAGGTCCCAGAGGCATGTAGGAGGGGAAATTCTCATCAAGATGTCCAGTGGAATGTATGACGGCTGCTGCCAGTTGTCAGGAAGGTTTATAAGGTTTATTTTAACTCCCACACATAGCACGGCTACTTTGTCACCCCAATGTGCCAGTGGTGAAAGACACAAGCTGTTTCTCTACTCCATGAAGACTGTACAAAAACATGTTTTTGGTTATTTTATGTCATGTCTTCATCTAGAACATTTAGCTATATGAGTAAATAATCATTTATTCATTTTTAAGATCTTATACTTCCAGATATTGCTGGTGTTAGCCGACCTCTATATGACCCGTCTTGGTTAGTTTCCAGACTGACACTGTAGCTGGGGCCTCTTGTCACTTTTTTGGAATCCCTGCTGACAGGGATTGTAGAGTTGTCTTTAGATAACCCCACTCCCATCAGATATTGTACATACAATCACTCTTGATCAAGCAGTAGTGGTCTGGTTATGGAGGCCCTTCATACCCTGCAACCCATGACCTTTGTGACTGTTATTCCTATACAAAACATATGGAGAAAAAATATGATAACTCACCAAAGACTTTCCTTCTGATAGCTATGAAAATGATAACATTTAAAAATGGATTTTATTATTTTGTTCATAATGCCTAAATTTGGTATTGTAATTAGTGGATCATCAAATATATACAATCCAGGCTTAAAATCAAAATTATAACTTGAACAATCACACATTCATTTATGGAAGTCTTAAAGGGCATTACCAAAGCATATGTTGTATCAGATATTACCAGCTAACTGCATTACCTGAGGTTAAGTCTAAACATTTTGTATGAGACAGTTTAGAATCTAGAATGGAAACAATTGCATTTTTAAATATAAAGGTGTGTTTATTTTATATGTTTTTGATATTTTGCAGTCTCCATCTGCAAATGAAGGACCTAAATCTCTCTCCCATGTTATCTTGACACTATCAGGTTTTATCAGTACAAGGGCATATTGTAGAACTGAATAAGCCTCATTAAGTTTGGTGTCCCTTGCCACTTGAGAGCTGATTATAAGTACAGTGCATTGACTGTATATAAAAGCTGGATAAACCCACTGTGACATCACCCACTGGTTTTCTGAAGAGCCATATTGGTAGTGCTTCACTCCGCCTGCTACAGTTAATATGAAAATGGGCAAAGAGGTGGAGCATGTGTGGAGCTTTCTAGACAGCTGGCAGCCAGCCACCTTTGGTGTAACCCTCCCACCTGTCACTCACAGTGGCTCTTAATTATGCATAACCTTTAGTCTCAATATACTTTAAACGGGCAAGTTACAAAAAGATTCAGCCCCTGTACAGTTGTCATGGAAGGGGCAATTAGCTATAGAGATCAAAGCTGTTTTTGGTACAAGGCTGTAAATATGTTTATTTCTGCTGTAAAGTTGGACATTTTAAAATGGGAGTCTCTGGAGATTGACTCACTTTTGAAGGCTGCCTCAAGTGGTCATTCAAGGAACTGCATGTTTTGGCACTTCTGCATTGGCTTCATTTCTCAGCCTTGGAAGTTGCCACTTGGTACAGTGTTTGAGCTGGCTTTAAAGAGTAACGTAACACCAGATTACAAATCAGAGTTTTGCTCACAGTTGCTGACCGCACACTGCCTCACTGGGTGGTGTGGTTGGGTGTGGTTACAAGTGTTCTTTGTTGAATCCCTGGGGTGGATTAAGAAGAAGAGTGACGACATCTCAGTTGATTCTATAAGGACCACTTAGTAATTCACATGATGGAGTTGGATATGGCATTACGCTTGGTGAGGTAGTGAGGGGTTACTGCGCATGTCTAGTAAGGGATTATTGCACAAGAGGTTATTGATAAATCCCCCCGTTCCCTACTGAAAATAGTGGACCTTATTCAACTGTTTGGAACAGTTTGAATCTACGAGTCACATGACCCACTACCGTTTTTGACCCCTTAGTGTCGCAGCTCTTCTATCTTAAGGGCTCTGACTGAACCTAACCACACCCACCATTAGGGATGTCACTGGGTCTTGAGGTACACCTGTACATCACTGCAGCAAGGTGAGAAGATAAACCACTGGAGGTCAGCAAAGACAAGATTTTTCAGGGGTTAAGTTACTCTTTTATTAATCTTACACAAAAGATACCTTAATTGTAAATTTGAGATAAATTGCCTCCATGTAAAATTGACCTCTTTTTCTACAGTCGCCCTAAATAATTCAAAGAGATTTCCCAGTTTTATCAACCCAGTCTTTCTAAAGAAATATTTTTGACTTTCCTCATTTGTGGCTTGTTTCAAAAGTACGTTATGCAGGACATTCATTTTAAAAACAGAGAAAAGGTTTTTCCAGACATCCTGTCGGTGTGATATGGCAGGATATAACTGAGGATCTTTTAAACAGAGATAGAGAGAAAACGAGGGAGGGAGGGAGGCGTTCTTGTGCTGCCAACATCCATTTTGTTATTTTTTCAAGAGTGAAAGCACAATCATAAAATTGTACCTCTTGTCAGCTGGGATCTGAATCTTTCCAAAAGTGCAATCTCAGGTGTTTTCTATTCCAAAACCCCAAAAAGACAAATTTCTAATTAAACTAAATAATTTATAGATATAAGACTGATATAGACTATTGTATGAAAATAATGAGATATAAATTATTGCTGTAAATTCCCCCTACAGATATTCAGCATTTGCCTCTTTCTATACCTGTTTATTCCCTTGATATCTTTGTGCGAAATGTGAAATGCAGACTCAGACTTACTGGTTTGTGTAAGAAAAATCCACACATGTAGTTCTTGAGTTTCCTGTAGTTTTACTTCCCATCCTTCACTCTTTTTCCTCAGGAAGTGATAAGAGCTTGGTTCTTTTTTTAGGACAGAAAGAAATGCACTGATTGGGTCCTCTACTGTATTTGCCAACATAAGCTCATGAATGGGTGCTCTATTAGAGCATAATGCCAATCTGCACAGCTTTCTTCCTGTTCACTGTAATTCATTTCCTGTCCACCACCCCCTCCAGTCCTAGCTGCTGCCGTTGGCCAGGAACCTGACCAGAGCCATGGCTGTGCACTTGGCAGCTGTTACCCAGCAACGGGGGACTTGCTAGTTGGACGAGAGAAGTACCTGAAGGCCTCGTCCACATGTGGGATGAGGAGAAAGGAGCCTTACTGCATTGTCAGTCATCTTCAGGTCTGTGCATGTGTGTGACTGAGTTAAACACATCCTTGATGTTAAGTAAAATTTGAATTTTGTGGTTCTGGGTTTCTCATGGACCCCTCAAGTTTTTTGACTTTGACCATGATACAATGACCTTTTCAATTCCTTCTGCAGGATGAGAAGAAGTGCTTCGAATGTGATTCCAGACGGCCATATGACCCCGTCTACAACACCATCAATCACCGGATAGAGAATGTTATCGCCACCTTCAAACCTCACCGCAAGAAATCCTGGTGGCAGTCAGAAAATGGTGAGGAGACTTTGTAGTCACCTGTGTTCTGCACTGACACACAGTGACTTTACCAGAGTGCACAGTCACTGTTTGGTAAACAAACAAATACTAAAGGACTCCAGTGTCACAGCAAACAATATTTGGTGCCACTGTCCAATATAGAACAATTCATAAAGGGTTTAAAGCCAATAATTACTTCATTTTGCCTTATTGTTGTAATGGAACAGAGCAATGCACACAACTGTGGACAAAAGTGGCCTTTAGGAGGCAATGGTACATGTGACTGTGAGAAGAAATACACAACAGGCTGTGCGTTTGGGTGTATATTGTGTTTTGTGCTAAACAGTGAATATAAGCATGCTGACATGACATGCTAAAACTATAGCCCCTTTTCCGTCACCTGTTACTGGCTCAACTTGACTCGACTCTACTCGCCTTATTTGTTTTTCCATCAGTCAAATGTTGGGGATAGTACCTGGTACCTGGTACTGTTTTTGGTATCACATCCATCACAGATTCGAGTGAGCTGATTTGAAACCAAATGGTGATGTGTAAACACTGAATACTACCAATTGGTCAGAGAAATTCATCATTAATAAACTGCATTCCTGTCACAGATGAACCTGGATGTTTACATGTTGACATCAGTCGCTCATTCTTCATTCATTTATAACAGTAGCTGCCGCTTCTCTTACGAGTGTTATAGAGGGTAAAGGTTATGGTGACAGAGGCCTCGAGCTTCTGTTACTATATAATATAACTGTTATATTACATGAACCACCAAAAGCACCTGGTACTAAAAGCGAGTAGAGTCGAGTTGAGCCAGTACCAAATGGTGGAAAAGGAGCTTACGATACACCATAAATATGTACCAGTATTTTAGCATTTTCCCTGTGAGTATGTTAGCATACAAACCTTTGTTTAATTTAACTCTTCATTACATCTTTGTTGTGAGACAGAACTGAAATCTACTTTATGGTTATATAATAAACAACCATGCCTGGTCTTATACCTGTGCAGCCAACTGGTTGTCACACTAGTATCACACTGATATAGCCAGTTTTAGTTGTGTAATGTTCTGTGCAGCTTAACTCAGAGATACAGATGCTTGGCTATTGCTATTCCTAATGCCACATAGACATCAGGGATGTATAAATAAGCCCTATATACTTTCAAATTAATGCTGAGTTTTTGAGATAAGAAATCCTTCTAAAACAAAACTGAGTTTCTCAGCAATCTAAATGTCTAATACAGTGTGATCTTAGTTTTTATTTTCACGACTGCAGATTTGTTCTAAGCCTTGAATTAAAGCTACTGAAGTAATTGCTTTGAGTCTTGTCAAAGCTGGTTATATGACAAAATGGGAGTAGTGAAAATCAGTTGGCAAGCAGGGAAAAAATGCAGCTGTAGAGAAACTTTAAAAGTCTTAGGTTTGCTCACAAACATATACACACACACTGACCAGCTACAGCTGGGCGTAATAACAGAGTAGGTCCTGCTCTGGCATCTCACCAGAGAAAAAGAGAAAGTGGGGATGAGAGAGGAAGGAGAAACATCAATCAAGCTCTGATGGATAGATAACAGTGAAGGTCAAAGTATTTAAGCCTGAATGAGGGGCAGTAGTAAGGACAGGGAGCAGGACAAATTTTCTGTAATTTCAGCTGCATCTTCATCACAATGAGCGTCTGCAAAGCTCTGAGCAGTCACATTTCAGCTGTTTGTGAGCCATGTTACTGTAATGGAGTGCTGTAGATGAAACTGCTGTGCCCTCACTACCAGACCAAGAATAGACCAGAGGGAAACAGAAAGAGAATAAGGGGACAGGAAGTGAAGAGACTATTTTTACTCCTGGTTGCCACTTCTTTTCCATGGCAACATTATGACATTTCCATGATGGTGGTGGTTTCACTGTGCACAGTAGGCCTATTTGATATGGATTACAGTGGTTTGATTGTGTGTGTACTTATTTATTGGAGAGGCTGCTTCTTGGAATTGCATCTGATTATGTGCCAATGCATTTGAATATATTATGAGTTGCCCAAAAGTTACTCTAGTAGCAAGACTCCATATGTATCCTTTGAATTATCCTCTCACTCCTATGCTCTCTCTTTCTTCCTCTTTTGAACCTTTTCAAGCTGTCACTCCCTTCCTTATGTTTCTTTTCCATTTTTTCCTTCTTGTGCCTTGTCTACTGTGGATTTGTGGTTGGTTGTGCAAACGTCTGTGTCTCAATATTTGTTATCCCAGTTAGGAAACAAACCCATTAATTAGGTAATTGAACCAACTACAAAAAGGATCTGTTTACCTAGACACTTGGGCTCAGTGCTAAACCCGTAGCCTGTTTTAAGGCACATTTTTTATGGGCTACTGCAAATCCCTGGCTAACAAAAAACCACATGGCTAGACTTTCAAACCTGCATATATGTGTTAAGATATAGCACGTAACTTGTTCACCTTTGGTTGGACAAGTTTTAGTAATCATATTAGCAACCCTGTTGCAAAATATGCTTTAGTAAGTTAAACACTGAGCTAACAGTCACAACACTGCATGTCTCATGTTAAAAATATGAAAGTTAAGTTCATATTTTGCAAAAAAGTGATTATCTCTATAAGCCAAAGGAATTTGTGCCAACATACAGTATGTGTGAGAACATTATTGATATGTTTAAAAACAATGTTCCTCAAAGAAAGGTAGGAAGGGATTTTGATATGTCGCCCTCTATGGTGCAGAATATGATTAAAAGACTCAAGGAATCTGAACCTGATGACAGTGCTCTTTGATCCCTCAGACGACACTGCATCGAGAATCATCACTCTTCTATAACTGATATAACCATATGGGCTCAGGATTACTTTGGCACACCTGTGTTAGGCACTACAATATGTAGTTACATCCATAAATGCGGCTTCAAACTGTACTGTGCCAAAAGGAAGCCCTATGTCAACAGTATCCAGAAGCTTAGTCAACCACTCTGGACTCAGAGGCATCTGGGACGGACATCACACAGTGGAAATATGTGCCGTGGTCAGACGAATCAGTGTTTCAGGTCTATTTTGGAAGGAATAGACACCGTGTGCTCTGGGCCAAAGACAAAAAGGACCATCCAGACTGCTACCAGCAACTAGCCCAAAAGCCAGGGTTTGTCATGGTCTGGGGTTGTGTCAGTGCCCTTGGCAAAGGTAACTTACACGTATGTGATGGCGCCATTACTGCTGAAACATACATAGAGACTTTGGAGCAACATTTGCTGCCTTCAAGACAGCATCTCTTCCAGGGACACCTATGCATATTTTAACAAGGCCTGGAGGAAAAGGGTGTGAGTGCTGGACTGGCCTGCCTGCAGCCCTGACCTGTCCCCAATAGAGAATATGTAGCAAAGTGTCAGGTCCACTCTGCGCAACCTGCCTTTCTTTCTTTTCCGCTCTCTTGCTTTTCTTTTTTTTTGTGGGGGGATCCGTGTCTCAGCTGTGCCGCTTTGGTAATTAGTGACTCGTGGTTTGGATCGCACAGCTGAGACGCATTAGTTCATTAGTTCTTTTCTTATTTAAACCTAGGGCAGACGCTCCGTCGTCGCCAGAGCATTATGAAGAGTCAACTATACTAATGACATGGGTTTTTGTTATACATACGTTTACTTTCACGCTGACAGTTCCTGTGCGATTGATTGTTCTTGTACCATGGGTTTTGCCACAAGGTATGTGATTTATGCAACGCTGACAGATCCTGTGCGTTGCCAATATACATACGTGGTGTTCTTTTTGTTTGTGGCTGCTGTACGTATCTGACGGTGATCTTCCCAGCCGTGGGTACCTAACAGCTAGCGCTACACCTGCCATACCTGGAGTTCTTTGTTTTCTGCTACTCATCTGCTGGCCTTCTGTCTTCTTCTCTGCTCGTCCTGGTCTCCTCAACCATCTCCACCTTGCCCCTGGTTCAGTATTATTCATTGACTTTCTTATGTTGTTACTTTGTGTTCTTTTTCCAGTAAAACCACCATTTTTCCACTAGCACCTGGGTCAGCACACCTGAGTCCAACCCCAGTTCTCCCTCACCCTCCTGGTGAGGGGGACTAAACCATAACACAAAGACCCAGGACTGTTGAGCACCTTAAGACTTGTTTGTAGGAGGAATGGGACAAAATGCCACCTGACACATGTAATCACTTGGTGTCCTCTGTCCCTAAACATCTTTTAAGTGTTAAAATGCAACACCACACCGTGGTAAATGCTTTACTGTCCCAACTTTTTTTGGAATGTGTTGCAGCATCAGAATCGAATTGTGTGTGTTTTTCTTTTTACATAGAATAAAGTTGATGAGGTATCACATCAAATAATGTGCTGCTGTATTGTTATCAATGTAATACAGGACACAGATGATTTACACATCACTGCTTTCTGATTTGGGGTTGTACTTCAGATCACCAGTTTAAACACTGTTGGGTTATAGACTAGCGTTTCATGTGGTGCAGTTTTTATGTATTAGTAAGCAGGAATTGGAAAGTCCTCTTGGCTTTGTACTGGAACAAATGTTACAAAAGACTGAGAACAAGAGTGAAAGGGGTCTTCAGAGTAAAGTGGCCCAGAATATTTGGTGCTCTACAATTCAGGAAGTGTGTGAGCTTTTCCGGCTATATTTCTCCTGCCAAGATGTAATGGATTTTCCTTTCACAATGCCATTCTTCAAGCCAGAAGCATGATTGCTACTTCACTTACTGCTGCTAGCAGTAAGCTGTTATCCAGCTGTCAGAAATCAATAATAAAAATGGAAAATGAGTGCACACAGGTATTAATACAATCTATCCAACAGTCATTATCTATAAAGGAAAATGTTGCTTTTTGGTAAACTTAACATCTCTCTCTGTCACTGTCTCTGTGTCTCTCTCCCAGGAAAGTCAGATGTTTTTATCCAGCTGGACCTAGAAGCGGAGTTTCATTTCACTCATCTGATTATGACCTTCAAGGTTTAGTAAAAACTCTTGTCATCAGCTTACTGACCAAGTACATGACAATAATGACTTGTAGCTCAATTATTCTATGTAACAAAATGAACTTTAAAAGAAAACGTGTTGTAGAATTTTTGTTTGTGGCGTTCTTCTCTTGCAGACCTTTCGTCCGGCGGCCATGCTGATTGAACGTTCAGCAGATTTTGGTCGTTCCTGGCAGATCTACCGCTACTTTGCCCACGACTGCACTGCTGCCTTTCCTGGAGTCTCCCAGGGTTCATTGCGTAACATTAATGATGTCATCTGTGAGTCACGCTATTCTGACATTGAGCCATCAACAGAGGGAGAGGTGAGTGATTGATTAAAGGAATAACCCTAAAATTCCAGGTCAGATTAGTTGTGGAAGATAAACATTAAAACTTGGGAAATATGGTGAAGTAAAAAATGTGGTTTATCATGTTTACAGTTCTGTTTGTGTAAATTAAAGAAAAAGTAATTTAGCATGTTAATTAGTAAAATGTAGAGGTGAGGTGGGAAGATTATTTTAGACAGAGCCAGGCTGTTTCCTCTTTTCCAGTCTTTATGCTAAGCTAAACACCTGCTGCTCATATACTATGTAATGTGTGTGCATAATGTGTACTTCCTGGCCTAGGTCATCTACAGAGTGTTGGATCCAGCCATCAAGATTGAGGATCCGTACAGCCCAAACATCCAGAGTAGGTTACACTCTTATTTTTAACAGTGGGCTGACCGTACACTATGTCAACACGTTGGACATATACAGTGTTGTCTTGATGTAGGATCAGCTATTTTTGTTTGTTATTATCAATACCTATTAAATAATTTCACCCATATAGAGAACTTACTAATGTCCATGTTGGTATGTTAGTGTTACAGCGCAGTTAGAAGGCTACTTGATTTAAGGGGTTATAAAAGCTTAAGAGCTCTACAACATGTTGATAGCTAAGGCCAGTTTTAAAAGTAGGATCCTTTAGAAAATATAATTTAGAATTTAGAAAACATAAAATCATTGTGATGATGACTTAGACCAAGTCACTCTATTGAAAATCCCGCATAAGTGTCAAATCAAAACATAAAACTATGCAAAGACAGCCACATTTATCATGACACATCAACTCCAGTAGACACAATTAGCTCTTGTTTCTCAGCTGTGACACATCCCGTACAATAACAGATCCTCTCTCTCTGGGGTGTGAAACATGGCCCTGCTGCATGGAAGACATGGAGTGATGTGAAAAGCAGCTGTTCCTCTCCCACTCAGCCTTGCTGTTTAGACTGGCAGGACATGAGAGCTTTTCCCAGAAACCCAAGCTTGGTTTCCAGTGCATCAGCAGAGGCTGTTCTGTTCTGCTGTTACATATCTCACTTGAAGCGGCCCATGTGAAGACCGCTGAACCCCTCACAGCAGAACAATTCATATTTACTGTTTGCTGTTGTCAAGACAGTGAATCATCATGCAAAGTAGTTCTTTCATTGTGGCTTTTTTTGTTTTTGTTTCTGCATCAGAGTGAGAATGTGGGACTTTTACCCTGAGTTTAGCCTTCCAGGCAAAACTTCCTTTCAGTACATAGTCAGGGTAAATCCCAGTTCCCTTAATTACACCAACAGTTCCCTCATTTGCATATTTTCCTTGTCACTTAGTCTCACCTACATCAACTGTGAGGAATAAATGTGACTCAGTTCAGAACAAAAAGTGTTCAATTCATATCTGTCTGACTGCCTCTGTAGGTTCCAACAAACTGAGAGGGAGTGACTTGCTACATTCTTTCTGTCTTATTCCCAGGATCTCCTTTTTAGGATTTTCAAATTAAATCCTAGTTACAGTAACTAATTACAGATCAGCTGCACCCTGCAACAGAGCTGCATTAACAAGACATTCAAATATTATTTTCAAATCATATTTTTTGCAGACATTTTCATGGTTATTGGTGCCGAGGGAACGGATGCTTTTGATAAAACAGCTGCAGTGGCTGGATTGACAAAATTTATTCTGACCTCACAAAGGTTGAAAAATGTCTTTATGAAATTACAATTGAACATTTTCATCATCAAGTTTTGATCATAATTGTATGGCTATGAGCTATTTAAATAGGTAAATGTTGTTGGTTTCCTCTTTTAATAACTGAAATGAATATGATGAAAATCATCATACAATGGGAGCTAAGTACTCAGATATTACCGGTATAGCATCGACATGCTAGCACTGTGAGTGTGTTACCCATGGATGTATTATCTTACTATACTGATACAGTTAGGATTTAAGCCATGTACTGCTCGAGCTTTGCTCACACCATCAAAGTACTGCCTTAAACTCTTTTTAAAGTTTTTTGTTAATGTCTCTCCGAAGTCTCTGTGTAGTGTGCAGTATATCAGTCTCAGTTTCAGCCCCTGGCCTCCTGAAAGCTAATGTTTGTTGCTGCTGACTGTTCTCCAATCTGCTATTACAGTGTGACAGTGTGACAGACAGTGTCTTAGTGTAGTGGGGCTGCAGGGATTATCTCTTGTCTGTCAAACAGGGATTCTGTTACCTCAGATAGAGTTTGCTGGGCAGTGTCAGAGTTTGAAATAATTTCGTCCTTCTCGCTGACACAGCTGGTGGTTCAACTGCAACTCCTGCAGCAGGATTTAAAATGACAGGAAACTCAGGAAGCTAAACGGTTTTACATGCTGGTCATAACCAAGGTATTTCCTTTTTTGTGGAGAAGAACAAATTGTAAATACAAGCTGCAGCTGCTCTGATGCAATTTTATAAATATTAATCATCATAATTACAATGATGGTGATATGAATTTATACTAAAATGATATCAGTGCTGCCTCATTTACTAATCCAAAGGGTTTTCCATTCTGTGAGAAGCAGTGTTTAATTAATCAGTAACATTTACCTGCTCTGGTCGTCAGCATTGCTCTAAGTCCCTGTTAAGGCCTTAAACACAATTTTTTATCATATCCGCTGTTGACATGGCAAAGTAGCCCCGTGGGAAGCAGAACAGTGCGAGTCATTGTTAGTAACAAAGAAGAAGTAACAAAGAAGGGAAAGGTGCGCGCCCTTGTGAAAGTGCAGGAACATTTGTTGGCAGGCTTGTGTGTTAGGTACATGTGCATTAGTTTGTACTTGTATGGCTACATTGTGAGAACCATTGTGAGTTTTATATCATGGGAGTGAGGAGGTTTGCGGAAAATGAGGATATTTTGGCCAGTCCTCACTTACACTCTCTCAGAGAAACATGAGGGTTGACACTCAGGGATAGTCATTCAGTTGTGATAGTTAAGCTTTGGGCAGGGGGTTAGAGATTGCATTATATCAGTGAGTGCCCTAACACCCACAGAAAGACAAACATGTGTGTTGATGATGAACAGCTGGATTATAACAGCAGAGGATTTTCCACCCACGGCTGTTCCAGCAGAGTGACAGGGTGAACAGGCAGGTGAGTATCTCTGGGAAGAAGTTATCTTTCTCCCTAGTATGAACTCAGCTCAGACAGTTTGAGGCAGGATGTTTGAAAGAATCTTTTCAACACCACATTTCATTATTATAATTATCATTTTTATACATCCTCACTTCTGGATATGTACCATAAAGTGACAAATGACATCTGGATGATGTCTTGCTTTAATAATTCCCCTCTTGGTAGTTGAAGAAGGAAACTGGGTTTGGATATAGGGAGAAACTGTTCAATTCAATCAAAATACCTCCATCAAGTAACTAACTATTAAACAGTGATGCAGTTAGACTCATTTGTGGCAGTGTGATGGATAGTCAAGGGTTGCGTCGATGACCGTGCTGCACACCTGTATCTGTATCCCTGGATATGACAATCGGCTGTTAGCCACATAGCTGATTAATCAGCTAGTAACTGTGAAGCATGAATGAAACAACTCATGCCAACTAGCTCATGCAAGTTCTACCTCAGTGCTCTGTCCTGAACTAGTGCTGTCGCCTGTGGGATTGGGGTGACCAATTCATATTCCTCTCACATTTAAATAAAGAGAGATTGAGCAAGAGATGCATTTGTTTGTGTTAGTGAACAAAATCCATTTCCTTACTAAGCTGACAGTTGTTTCACACTGAACTTTGCGAGGGTACAGATTTTAGTTTGTGTTTTTTTGTTAGCGATGCTGCTGGTGTGGCTCCAGGGATGACGTCGGTTGGTCAGTCCACCTCTTTGGTTCAAGCTGTAACATCGCAACAGCTGTTAAACAGATTACCAGGAAATTTGGTACAGATGTCTGTGGTTCCTTGAGAATGATTTGGTGTTCCCCTGACTCTTCAGGAAGTTTAACTTTTCCCAGTACTTTAGTTTATGACCAAATTCTTGCAAAACTAATGACATTTCCATCAACCTCAGCTGCACTGTCTTTGGTTAGTACCATACTAACACACTAAACTTAGATGTAAGCTAAGTCTATCATAACGTAATACTGGCACCAAATCATTCTCAAGGAACCACAGACATTTGTACCAAATTTCCTGGTACATGAAAAGAGTTTTTGTTTTGTCACGTTAGCTATCATTTCTGCCCATACTGAAGAGGTTTCTTACTAAAGTGATTCCAGTTGTAGACAAAATTCTCATTCTCAAGTCCTCAACATCTATTCTAATGTTCAAGTGAAACTAATATAGTACAGTATGAGGCTCCAGCATCATTCCAATTAAGTGGACATCTTCCAAAGTTAAATTCGTTTTACTCTAAACATTTGATTTTGATGTAAGGCAAAGAAAAAGCCGCATTTGCTTTACGCTTTGAAAGGCAAGTCAGGTTTATTTATGTAGTCCATTTTCATACATAGAGGCAATTCAAAGCACACTGATGGATAAAACATTAAAATGCATACAAGATGCACACTTACAGATGAAGTAGGAGAAAATGAAAATACTCAAAGTACAGATACCTCATAACTGCTGTTACAGTAAGTACAGTACATGAGTAAAAGTTACTTTCTACCTCTGCTGTTCACTAGAATCATACATGTCAATACAGTGACAACTTCCTTTTTCCAAAAAAAAAATAAATCTTTTAATATGTCTTCAAAGGCTTCACTATATATAGTATACGATTCTGGACAGACATGCATGTAAACTGTAACTTGACTGGTTGCCGGTGGACTACAACCATGAGGCTGTAATTCTAGTTAATAAATCATTTTATCTCATCAACTGGTGTCATATAATCCATCAAATAAGTTCCAGCCTTGTTCTGGGTATCTAGATCCTGTTCCTACCTATTCCCTTATTCTCTTCATGTCTCATTCCCAATAGACCAACTGAAGATCACCAACTTGAGAGTGAACTTCACCAAACTTCACACACTGGGAGACAACCTGCTGGACCCCAGAGTTGAAATCAAAGAAAAGTATTACTACGCCATATATGAGCTTGTCGTACGCGGAAACTGCTTTTGCTATGGACACGCCTCAGAGTGCGCCCCCATCGATGGCATAAGGGATGATATAGAAGGAATGGTGAGTGATGAAGCTTCACCCACAGTACAGACCTCTAGTTAGCAGTTTCCCCACTAATTTTCCTTAATCTCATTAATTCAAAGCTTTTAATTTATCATCCCCTTGTGTTGACCCTCCCCTGTCTCTTTTTAAGGTTCATGGCGGGTGTGTGTGTAACCATTACACCAAAGGTTTGAACTGTGAGCAGTGTGAAGACTTCCACAATGACCTGCCCTGGAGACCAGCTGAGGGACGCAACACAAATGCCTGCAAGAGTAAGTACAGAGGACGAAGCACAGGGAACATAAAGTGCAGTGTGAGAACTTTATCTCTGAAGTTAACTAGTAAGTATTAATGAAGACAAAGAGATCACATACACTGCTTCTTTTTTAAATTCTTGATCAGCAGGCTAATGTAACTAAAAAAGCACAGTGGCTTGGGTTATTTACACTTCTGACACAGTAAACGCTTAGTGTAAAAACAGAATAACAGTACATCAGTAATGACCAATTAGTGTGAAATTAACATGTTTTTTCTTATCTAGAATGTAACTGTAATGGCCACTCAACCTCCTGCCACTTTGACAATGCGGTGTATTTGGCCACGGGCAAAATCAGCGGAGGAGTGTGTGATGAGTGTCAGCACAACACCATGGGACGCAACTGTGAGATGTGCAAACCTTTCTATTACAAAGATCTCAATAAGGATATCAGGGATCCACGAGTCTGTGTAGGTGAGTGTGTATTTGTGTTAGATTGATCTGGCCTACCTACCAACACAGTCGTGAGCTGGCGACACACACAGGTCGTAGGCTGTACTTTGAAAACCTGAGCGCCTGATTGCCACAGTTATTCTCCTTCTCTGAGTTATAACTTGGTCAAATCTGTACACTCAGACATAAAACATATTTTTAAATTTGGTGTAACTTAAAAGTCATTATTTATGATTATGAATAAACATCCATAAATCAACTGAGAAATCATGGAAACAAAATACTCCTTCTAACTTATCCAGTGTCAGGTGTCTGTACATCGATGGGTGCAATACAAAACGGCTAACAGCTAATTTGACATACTTTACAGTAAATGCTGCCAGTTTCTGGCTGACAACATTTCTACCCTTTTGAACTGATGTATAAACTGACGGGCTGATTACAGTCATTATTTTTGTAGAATATGCAAATCATTTTAGAGACTATTACAGCGCACCGATTGTGCAAAATTCGAAGAAAATCAGTGCAGTGACCACGGCATTGTAGTCATTTAGAGCAAAAGTCCAGCATTTGAGAAATAGCCTTCTTTGCTTTATGGTTTAGATGTCAGACAAGAAGACTGATGCCTCTCTGATGAACCTCAACTGTCAGCCAGCTAGCTAACACCACCTATAGATGAAGTACCATCAAATTTTTACAGAAGTGCTGAGGATTCATACAATATCTGTGTCATTCAATTTTGGCTTCAATTGTATGTTGACATTTAACATGCAGAAATAAATGAAAATGTAGGCTGAGGGTTATACTGATGAAGTCATACTGAGCAAAAGAATCCACAGGATGTTCTTGCATTAAACTTGCTGCCCCCCCCGTCTGGCCCATAGCTTGTGACTGTGACCCAGATGGTTCTCAGAATGGAGGGCTGTGCGACAGCCATACTAACCCTTCCCTCAGCATGGTGGGAGGTCAGTGCCGCTGCAAGGCCAATGTCGAGGGGCAGCGGTGCGACAAGTGTAAGACTGGCTTCTTCGGCCTGAGCGCTGACCACCCGCAGGGCTGCCAACGTGAGTAGAGTCTGTTAATACTCAGACAAATATAGAAATGTTATAATGACCCTGTTTTTCCACGGTGAAATGATGGGATCACTTACAAACAGGGGTGTAGGTTTGGTTTTAGAGATGAGAGGTGTCACGTAAATGCCTGCATTATTAATGTGCTCACCATATGATTACCTGTTGTATACTTTCTTTAATAAAGATCTTGTACTTTCAACCTCATCCATTTTTCCCTGTGCCCATTTTTCCATCCCCACCCTCCAGCTTGCCGGTGTGACCCTAGAGGAACAGTGTCAGGCAGCTCCCAGTGCGACCCAGTCAGTGGAGACTGCTTCTGCAAGCGTCTTGTCACCGGACGCGGCTGTGACCAGTGTTTGGTAAGACAGAGCAGAAAGTCTTGTTTTTTCAAGCTTCACTTTTGTTTTATGGCTTAAATAGAAAATCTCAAATATCTATATCTTTCACTTTTTCTTCCTCTGTCTTTCCTCTAAGCCCTATCAATGATAATCCAACAGTGAACAAAACACTTCTCTGCCCTTTTTACCTATGGATAGCAATGTTTACATTTTTGTCTGTTAGCCTCCTTTTTTAATTTTCTGTCACTTTCCTGTTCTATGCTTAAAGCTGAACATGATGGAAGTAAATTTGTAGGCAACAAATCTTATTCCCTTTTGTTTCACTTCATGGTAAATATTAGCTGCATCTTTCTGCTAGTTTATTTCACTGTCTGTTTCCAAGATGTTAGGTGCTGATCATCTTACTATTATATTTCAACCTTCTTGTCCCAAACTTACCCAGCTCAGTATAGTGTATGTAGGAATGTGAGCACCTTTCTCGGCCTGTCTCTAAATATAGCCTTGTCCAGCTGGCATGGGTTACAGAAGACCTAAAATGGTCTGGGCCTAGACCTGGTCTGAAAGTGGATCCTGTCTTCAGATAAGCCCTGTGAAACCTCATGTAGAAACAGTAATGCTAACAATGGGGAAAAATAAAATTAAAAGTCCTGCAGAAGGGAACAAGGTATGTACTGTCACTGTGGTGAAACTGTATGTACAGTAATGTAATACTACCAGCATAAAACCCTACTTATGCATAAAAAGAAGTGTCCCCACTAAAGAGAAATGTCCCTTTGTGTTTCTTTTGTTAGCTTTCCAAATAACTGTCATGTCTAGCATGCTAATGTGGTAGCAACCAAACAAAGACTAGCATTACTATAGATGACAGGATTGCAGTGTTTGGTCCACAAGCTTGAACAGGGCTGATGCAAATATGGTAAAAAGACCAGATTCTTGTGTAACATTAATGGAGAAACCACAGACTTTAGCAAAGCACAAATACACCAGCAAAAATACTGAGACATCCATCTGACTGGACGGCTCTTTCAAGTCAGCTCTTTTTGGAAGAAAAGAAAATCTCACGGTGTCAGCAGGATGGAGCTGGACAGTAATAATATACCCTAAATATGAATGTTGTTTTATTGGATTAGAGAGCTGGATACAGTATGTATGACTCACACTCGCTGCTTTGGAAGTTCCCCTCCTGCTCTGGAATGACGCATCATGTCTGTCTGGTGCATAGTTGCTCTGTTTGTCAATCACCCTGCCCTGTATATCTGCCCCTCTGCGTTTTTAGGCAGAACACTGGGCGCTGAGCCACGACCTGAGCGGCTGCAGAGGCTGTGAGTGTGACATTGGAGGAGCCCTGGACAACCAGTGAGTGAGGCCATACTGCAGCTTCAATCCTAAGTCATAGATCATATGTCAAGTATGAGGCTGTTACATCATAGCAAGAAATGGATTACTCTCTTTGAAATAGCAGCTGCAGCTTTGTGCACTCATCTTTACCCTGAGAGCACTAATCTGTTACACCTCTTGTCATATTCATTAATCTTCTGTGCCACCAGAGTTTGATGTCATATAGGCCCATTCACACACAGTGCCCTAATTCAGTTCTCTAATCTAAATATTTGTAATGTTTTGTTTGTGTCAGCTGCACAAATGTTACTCTGCTAACATACTATAATGAAATGATTAACTTGGTAAAGATTTAGCTTCTGACAAAATATCACACAGCTACCAGCATGGCTCTCTTGAGGATTAACTTCAGTCTGTAAAATGGAAGTAGTTATTGCTTGCATTATTAATTGAACGCTAAGACCCAAAGGAAAGGCATATAGTATAAAATGAATTGGCTAAATTATTTATATGTTCTTCACAGATGTTCCATGGAGAGCGGCCAGTGTCGCTGCCGCAGTCACATGACAGGGCGCCAGTGTGCACAGGTGGAGTCAGGATATTTCTTCATGACTCTGGACTACTTCCTTTATGAGGCTGAGTTGGCAAACATGGGGCAGGTGAGCCAACCTGTATTTTTCACTGGCGCACATTTGTACTGAAGTAAATATTTGGCTTTAGGCTGGAGATATCGTGTATTGATGGAATAAATCTCAGTTCATCTACGTGTATATATTCTCAGGGCAGTACACTGGAGATCAGGGAGCACCAGCCGGGTCGCCCCGCCACCTGGACTGGCATTGGGTTCGCACGAGTACCTCAGGGTGGCACCCTGGAGTTTCTCATCAGTAACATCCACTATTCCATGGAATATGAACTGCTTATCCGCTACGAGTCACAGGTCTGTGTGTTTGTTCACCTGTTATCTCTGCTGTTTTGTGGCCAGTGACATCCTCACAATGATGACAAGACTCAAGAAAGTTACTGATACAGAAAATAACAGCCACTTTACACTTTGGTTGTGCACAGACTAAACAAATGAGACATAATGTGTTAATTTGTGATTTAGATGTGCTGGAAGGCAACGTTTTTATCTTTGAACAGGGCCAGGCTAGCTGCTTCCCCTTGTTTCCAGGCTGTATGCTAAGCCTAACTATCTCCAGTTATCTCCTGTTCCAATTCATATTTAACACACAGATATGAGAATGGTATCGATGTTCTTGAAAATACTAGGGCTCTACCTGACTAAGGACTTTGTCATCCAACTGTCAGTTGTCTCTTCAGTGCAACTATTCAACTATTCTTTCTTTCTTTTTAATATATATATATATAGCCAGGACTGTCAGAAAATCAACTGGCATGAATTTCAGTGTTGATTTTACCACATTAATATCGGTATTAAAATGCAAAAAAATGACCAGAACATATTTTTGAGCATTTAAAAATCAAGAAAGACAGCTGCATATGATGCAATATTTAAACTCACAATGAGGAGAAGAAGATGACAAACTACCAGGTGTTGGAGCTACCTTCTACTGTAATGCACACTGGCTAACAAAAAATAAAATAAAACCAAAGGTTCGACTAGAAGAGTCTCAGTCAGCTGACAGGCCTCTCGACTACTAATTTGACTAGTTGACTTTCAGGAGGCAGCCCTAGACAAAACAAGCATCTTTCACAAAATGTTAAGCTGTTACTTCTAAATCATTTTATACTGACCTCCTATCTTCCAAGTAGGCCTTACTTTGTAACCCGTATTTTCTTTTCCTTGCGCTTGACTGTATAGTAAACATAAAACACTAATTTTGTCTAGATGCCCAGGGACTGGGAGGAGGTGCGAATAACAGTGATCCGCCCAGGGCCGATTCCTACCAGCAGCCCCTGTGGAAACACTATCCCAGATGATGACAGACTCACTGTCTCCCTTCCAGCTGGAGCCAGGTCCGTTGCTCAAACACACACTCACTCATACAGTACATGCACACTCTTTGACACTGTGCGCTGATGATGTTCACCCCAGGTTTGCGGTCCCTCATCAGCCTGTGTGCCTGGAGAAAGGGGTGACTTACACCCTCCGCTTTGAGTTCAGACGCTACCAGGATGCCAACATTATCCTCAACGGCGCGGCCAATGCTTTCCTCCTTGTGGACTCAGTGAGATTCTTTTGCCAGTACCCTAAAACAAACAAACATTTGATTCACAAATAGACTTATACTTTTCATTCCAGGGAACATGTTGGTCCCCTTTTTTAATTCCTGTTCTTCTGCTCCAGATTGCCTTGATGCCACGTCACTCCTCCATGGAGATGTTCAGTGCAGGGGATCAAGCCTCAAACTACAGGAAACAGACCTATGAGCGGTACCGCTGCCACGAGGTGGCAAAGAGTGTGACCCGCCCACTGATGAGTGACATTTGTGCCAAGCTAATCACCAGCATGTCAGCCATCATAAATGACGGGGCTCTACGTGAGTGAAGAGAATTGGCTCATTAAAATGCTCTTGCCATGTTTAGCTCTTTCCTATACATTGCAGCACACTCATAGTACTTTCACACTATTTGTCCATTCACCCATTCACACTTCCAAACACACACACACACACCAGTAGGAGAGCCACTGGGACCAGCTAGGGGTTCAGGGGCTTGTTCAAGAATGCTTCGACATGTGAAATAGAGAAGCCTGGAACTGAACTGCCAACCCTCTGCTTATTTGTCATCACCACACCTGAAGCAATGAAAAAAGGGCAACTAACACTAGGTAAACAGACTCCTGTTTGTAATGCAGGAAGAACACATCACTGGGTGTGTAGGAGCAGCTGATGTTTAGCGAAATTATCTAGTGGAAATCAGTCTAATGTCCACAAGCAAGGCTGTTGAAAACATGTTGTATTCTAGGATGTATGTGCTAGTGTGTCACGCTCCAGGCAGTAGCGCGCCACAGAAGGTGACCAGACCTGGTCTCAGTTGTCAGTCAACGGGCTTGAGGTTTACACATTTTTTCCATAAAAATGTTTTTTTATTTAAAAAATCATAAACTATGCATAATAGTTGTATTATCATTGTAGTGTCTATTTCCTTACCAAGAAATCAGGAGAACTGTATTGAATTCCTATTTGACTTTAAGCTGTAGAGCTGTGCCATATAGTTGAGTCACCTGTAAAACCAGTAATTAATAATGCTCCCCCAACAGTCATGTCAGATACTGTATTTTCAATGTCTATATGTGTGACACTTCCATATGGGAGGTTTCATGCCTGTGTTTCTCTTTCTTTAGCTTGTAATTGCGACCTTCAGGGGTCTATCAGCTCCATATGTGATGTCCGCGGGGGCCAGTGTCGCTGCAGGCCCAATGTGATTGGCCGGCGCTGTGACCAGTGTGCCCCAGGGACTTATGGCTTTGGACCCTCAGGCTGCATAGGTGAGAAACTCAGATACAGCAGCAGTTTCAAAATTCAGGGCTTTCTCATTATCCACACCTGTGGGAAAGATACTGTATGATGTAACAGAACAGCATCTTCTATAAAACCTTATTCCTGACTTGGTTATGTTTTTCCAACTACTGTCTAAACTGTCCATGGAATGTTTTAGCAAATGTTTCAACCTTTGCTAAGGTGCAAGCAGTACAGTAGGTAATAAAGCAGTTCTAGTGCAAGGCAAATCAAATCTCTAGATGGTACAGTAGTGGTGACATTGGTGCTCAGTTTGATTCTTATATTTTATGTTTGCAAAAGACAATGACCAAAGCGTGAGGAGTATGCTGAATTTACATAGTCTACTGTTCACCTGTACACTGAGAGTTTTAGTGAGTGCTGGTGCCCTCTGCTGTCTTTCTGAGCACAGCTACAAAGACTTTTTACTTAAATTATTTTCTGTCCCTCCCTCCTTTTCTCTTTCTGTCTTTGATTCATTCTCTCCTCTTCTTCACTTCACTTCCTCCCATGATCCTCTTCTCCTCCGCCACATCCCTTTCCTCTCTCTGTTCAGCCTGCAGTTGTAGCTTGGAAGGCTCTGTGACTCAACTTTGTGACAAGTTCACCGGTCAGTGCCACTGCCGCCCGGGAGCCTTTGGTCAGCAATGTGATGGATGCCAGGCGGGTCACTGGGGCTTCCCCAGCTGCCGACCCTGCCAGTGTAATGGCCATGCAGACCAGTGTGACCAGAGGACTGGAGTCTGCATCAACTGCAGGGACAACACTGGAGGGGACAAGTGTGAGAGGTGATGGTCCAGTATGAGGCTGATGGAGCTGCATGGGATCAGGTTCAGTTTAAACATAAGGAATTGGTTTGGATTGTATGTGATGTGTATGCTGGTTCTGTAATAAACAACAAACACATAACAAACTTGTCCAAATATTCACAAAACAAAAACAAAGACGGTAAAGATGCAGATTCAATCCAACATGGGATTTGGATATTCAAGTGAAAAATATGAATTGAAATAAAACTAAATATAAATGCCATGTAACGCAAGCAGTGTTTTAAATTGAGCATAACACAGAATAACAACTATACAACCTGTTGTAAAAAGAAGCTCCTCAGTAGCCAATATCAGTACCCAATTCATTCATTCATTTTCTACCGCTTAATCCCTGAACAGGGTCACAGTACCCAATTCAACTTTAAAATAATACTTGCCAGCTGTACTATTAATGAGCGTAGCCTGTGATTTTGTGACATTCTGGCATATTACACATTCAAGCCAAGTAGTGTTACCTTAAACTATGCTCTTTACCTTTACCTTTGTTATTCTTGTAGGTGTGCCAATGGTTACTATGGCAACCCAGTTCTGGGGATAGCGTCTGGTGGTCAGTGTCGTCCGTGTCCCTGTCCAGACGGTCCAAACAGTGGACGCCACTTTGCTGCTTCTTGTTACCAGGACAACCGTAACAGACAGATTATTTGCAACTGTAACCAGGGTTACACAGGTAAACCTTGGGTGATGCTTGTGGTCCTGCTCTGTCTCCATATTTCTTTATCTGCGGTTCCTGTTCCATCAGTTCATGCTTTCTGCTCTGTTTTTCCTATTCATCTTCAGCAGGTGATGCTAACATTTGGTGTGTCCAAATGTCTGTGTCTGTAGTTACAATGAATTCCACACAGAAAATCACTGTAATTGAGGAGATGCATTTGTAAGGTTGCAAATACCTGTTGAACATGTGGCAAACCCCAACAGAAGCATAATGATGCTACTGCATCATAGAGCCTGTTTTGATGCTGCACTCTATGTCGGTTTTCAAACAAAACAAACTCATGTGTGTATATATGTGTGTATATATATATGTATATATATATATATATATACTATGTATATATGTGTGTGTGTGTGTGTGTGTGTGTGTGTGTATATATGTGTGTATATATATATGTGTATGTGTATATATGTGTGTATATATATATGTGTGTGTATATATATATGTGTATGTGTATATATGTGTGTATATATGTGTGTATATATATGTGTGTGTGTATATATGTGTGTGTATATATGTGTGTATATATATGTGTGTGTGTATATATGTGTGTATATGTGTGTGTGTATATATGTGTGTATGTATGTATGTATATATATATATATGTGTATGTATGTATGTATATGTGTGTGTATGTATATATACAGTGGTGTGAAAAAGTGTTTGCCCCCTTACTGATTTCTTATCTTTTTGCATGTTTGTCACACTGTAATGTTTCAGATCGTCAAACAAATTTATATATTAGTCAAAGATAACACAAGTAAACACATCATGCAGTTTTTAAATGAAGGTTTTTATTATTAAGGGAAAACAAAATCCAAAACTATATAGCCCTGTGTGAAAAAGTGTTTGCCCCCTAAACCTAATAACTGGTTGGGCCACCCTTAGCAGCAACAACTGCAATCAAGATTTAAGAGTGACATTTCGTCTCACTTAGATTTAATGCATCAGCAGTCTCATTAGCAGACTGTCTAAAGAGAGAGCTGATGTTACAGCATAAATAACCTCAGTGATTGATAGCAATCTCAAAACAAGATAATAATAGGAGTCATGCCAACCTGCTAAAATGTTTATTCACAATATTAGCTTTTTGTGTTAGCATACTGTACTTCATGTATAAAGCTAATAAAGACAAAAGACAAAGTAAATCTAACACAAAGTACATCTGAAACTGATGAGAATGTCAGTTTTTTTCCAGGTATGCGGCCATAAACCAAATTTTGATCTTGTGATGGATGAATGTCTTTGCTTAGTTGCATGACAATCCATAGAGTAGTTTTATTTTAGTTTGGAGCAAAGTGGTGGACCCGCTGACTGAAATTGAATGTAAAGACGGCATTCTCATCAGCCTCAGCTAATGCTAATTAGCAAATAGTAGCATGATAACATGCTAAACAAAGACAGTGAACATGGGAAGCATACCTGCTAAACATCAGCATGTTAGCATTGTCAATGTGAGCATGTTAGCATTTAGATAATAGTAGATAGCTCAAAGCAAAACATGCTTGCAAACTGGCAGAGCTGCAGCATGACTGTAGACTCTTGTTTAGCTACTTTTCCCATGAAACACTGAATCATCCTCTGGGGACCTTGAATATTCATCCCAAGTATCAGCTAGTCTTTATTATTATAGCATTCATGTTTTAGTCAACAAAGTTATACTCAACAAAATGCAGTTCTTCAAGCTTTCCAACCACTGAGGTTATATCTTCCAGAGCAGTTCTGAAACAAAGTAGTAATAAAACTCCAGTCCTCTGCCTAATGTAACAAAACAGAGGATTTAACTCAAATGAGGTGAGAACTGATGTTTCTCAGGCACCTTCTGAATGGTAACCTTTGTTATTTCCTCCCTCCCCTGTATTACTGGCACAGGGATTGTTAAACGCTCCGGGGTGACCATTTTTAAGCGTGAGTAATAATGGTTGACCCCCTTCCCCTTCCCCTCCTCCTCCTCCTCATCCTCTTTTTTTTTTCCACCAACCCCCCACTTTACCAGTCCTACCCATGCATGGCTTCAGCACCCCTTCCATCAATGGTGCTGTGCCACAGTACACGCCTGCTCATGTGTGAGACCTGGCTCAGAGACTAATGCCACACCTTTTCAAAATGCTTCTCTGTGACTGCCTGTGTTCTAAATGGCACTGAACTGACAAATAAATGTTCCTAAAATTATGTTACAAGTGGTTAAATAATTCCAAAACAAGATTCGAACCTGGTCTGTGTCTTCAATACAAGGATGTGACCCACATTTATTATTTTTGAGGGGTTACCTCAACAAGTATGGTACTCCATCCATCAAAGGAAAAAGGAACATGGGTACATGTTTATACACCTGTTGGTTGATTCTGAGTCTAGGTTGGCTTCTGTCTCTTTTGTTTGGAGTAGGCTTTATCTGTGAGTGTTGGGAGATGGTTGAGCAATCAAATCAAAGAACTTTGAAGCCTTCTTGCCTTCAGATTTTCACCATACATTTATGACCTGTCTGATAGATGAAGCAACAAGACATTGACTTACAAAAGTACAGGAAGAGGGAGCAGAAAAACCCTAAGCTGAATGCATATGCTTTCCCTCCTTCTGCTTACAATTGTTTCTACTTCCCTTCGCCCCCTCTCTCTTTCACTCCATCTGGATTTCTCTGTTTTTTACTTCTCCTCACCTTCTCATTCTTTTCTTCTAAATTTCTTCTTTGTTTCTATTCCTGACTCAAATATGCCAAGTATTTCTTCTTCTGAGTTCAACACGAAGAGACAGCAAATGAGATATGACAGTGAGGGAAAACAGCCTAATGAAACTAATTGTTGACTGGGAAAAGAATCCTGACTATTATTGGTACAGACTATAGCAGTAGTTTGACAGGCATGGTATAGATGTGATCAAACATAATATATAGCGCAGAGTGGGATAATACTGTGCAAACCAGGGGATGTTCGTAGTGGTTGCATTGGTCTCTGTGGAGTTTTGAGAGCTGGATAACTAAACCTTGCTGAGTGGTGATAAGCATCAAAACTGATTTCTGGTATCCTGCTGTATTAATAATAATAATAATGCTCATGCCTTGCAAAGATTGGTTAATCCAAGTCTTGGTCCAGCATGCTTTTTTTCTCAATAGATTTATCCACTGAAAACATTTTAGGCCAAATCTAGAACTTGGCAAAATTCAGTCATATGAGGAGGGTCCTCAGTTTCCTGCGTCCTGCTGTTTCAAACACCAATAGAACTCTTTACCTAAAAGTAGTTATGCTGATATCTGTTCTCATTCCCCCACTCTCTTCTCACAATTACTTTAATTCTCTTGCCTATTTACTTTTTTTTCTGACATAGGTGCTCGATGTGAGGAATGTGCCCCAGGTTATTATGGCAACCCCTCTCAGCCTGGAGGGCGCTGCCAGCCATGCCAGTGCAACAACAACATAGACATGTCAGACATGGATGCATGCCACAGGCAGACTGGAGAGTGCATGAAATGTCTCTACAACACTGAAGGTCCCAACTGTGGTATCTGCAAGAGCGGATATTTTGGGGATGCTTCTAGACGCAACTGCAGGAGTGAGTAACATTTTCAGTGAAAAACTTCTAAAGGAAAAGTGTTGTCTTCCATGATAATGCTGTTCCCAAAGAAGCAGTATTGTGATGATGGCACATGTTTTTTGTCGGTTTGCCCTTCAGAGTGCACATGCAACTTTCTGGGTACTGAACGCAGCCAGTGTATGGAGCGTGAAGATTGTGTGTGCCAGCGCATCACAGGCCAGTGCCAGTGTCTACTAAACGTCATAGGTCTGACCTGTGACCACTGTGCCCCCAACCACTGGAACCTGGCCAGCGGGAGGGGCTGTGAGCCTTGTGGCTGCAACCCCTACAACTCTGTCACCTCCTCATGTAATGAGGTATAGAACACATTGTATTCAGACTGTAAATACATTCAGATCATCATTGACTGATGTGGCATACTTCTGCTTTTCCACTTTCTATCATGCAGTTTACTGGTCAGTGTCAATGTCGGGATGGCTTTGGAGGCAAGACCTGCACAGAATGTCAGGAGAACTACTGGGGAGACCCCAGGACACAGTGTCGAGGTTAGAAATGTAAACAATTCTAAGCAAAAGTGGAGTGCTCTCACTACTCAAACAGAGTTGCAAAAAAAGTATTATGTTTATATTGAAGAACTCTTAAAAACACAGTGTATCTCAAGCAGGTTGTGAAGCTTTTTACCTGCTGCTCAGTACATGTATATAGTGAGTTACACTGTGGGTTGCAAATTGGGGCCTGTTTTTTAGCCTATATTTGTTTATGTTTTGGAACACTAAGTATATCAAATTAGTTATTAAGAGTTACTTTTTGTAGGTACTATTGGATGTACTGACAAATATCAATGAATTACTTTGATACTCAGAAAGTTTTTAAAACTTCATTATTTTAAGGCAAGTTTTGAAGTGCTCCAATCCCTGTAATTATGAAATGTTAAATTATAATTACGAGATAAGAGCCTCCAGATTTTTTTCTTTGGTAAATGCAATGCTCTATTATTAGATGTGAAGATTTGCATTCAAGATTTATGATGGAACCTAAATATAACAAATTTAGGCTTATATGGAAAATGTTTGCTCAGAACAGGAACACAACTACAAACTGAAAACAGTGAGGCTTTTGGTGAAACTGACAACAACTATGGCCTTACATGGGCCTTATAAACAATACATAACATGCTCTTAGCATGGATTCAGAAGTGTAAACAAACTAGTTTTTCTCATTATGAACTAAATTGTCTTGTTCCATATTCAGTGTACATTCCCTCCTTCTGTGTTGTTTCCCCCTTCAGCATGTGACTGTGACTGGCGTGGCATTGAGACCTCTCAGTGCAACCGTGTGACCGGCCACTGTGTTTGCCAGCAGGGGGTATCCGGTGTCCGCTGTGACCAGTGTGCCAGGGGCTTCTCTGGCCAGTTCCCCAACTGTCACCCCTGTCACCAGTGCTTTGGGGACTGGGATCGCATTGTCCAGGTGGGATTTCATGCAAAAGTGGGGGTCTAATTCTCAGCCAGCAGAATATGTGAACTACTGAATGACTGAATGTTTTGGAGTCAAACATAATCTTATTCTTCCCAATTTTGTCTCATTACCAGGACCTGGCAGTGCGCACCAGTTCTCTGGCAAAGCGTGTGCATGAGATTCAGACCACTGGGCTTACTGGGCCCTATGAGAAGGCCTTCAGAGTCCTTGAGGAGAAACTGGCACAAGCTCAGGAAATTGTTAACATACGCAATACTACTGCTGCAGCTGTCACTACCCTCATGGAGCTTATTGAACACCTTAGGTATGGCTGTTACATTCCACTGCATTTTTCTCTATGTAAAATCTTCAGTCATTTTTTTTTCTAGTAAAACCAGCCTATTCCAGCAGTATTAACATAAAGACATTTGATTTAAGACATTTTTGGAAAATTATATATTTTCTTTTGGAGTTAAGAAAAATCTTGTTACCCCAATAGCAGAATTATTTTAACTAATTTGAACTAATATTAGGATTAGACTTCATATCCCCCAGCAGTTGCTTGTCTTGTCCCATAGAACACAGATTGGTGAGACCACTGACAGCCTAAACCACTTGGAAGGAGACCTAACCATTGTCCAGGACAGCAACTCTGAGGCAAGCAAGGACCTGAGTGCTCTGGAGAGAGAGGCAAAAGAATTAAACCTCACCTCAACGCAGTTACACCACCAGCTAGACATTCTCAAAAACTCCAACTTCCTTGGTGAGAAAACGAGGGAGAACAGAGTTAGCTTCCTTCCATTTAAACTTCATGTTCTCCTACTCTAGTTCCCTAAGGCACAGTATATTTATTCCTAATTCACTTTTCATCCCTGAGTCAAAACTCTAACAGCCCTAACAGAACCCAGACTTAATGCAAAATTGCTTTGATTCAGCGCAGCAAATGAAAATGTACTCTTTTTGTCCTCACTAGGTGCATATGACAGCATCCGTAGCTCCTACAACAAGTCTCATGATGCAGAGCGGCGTGCTAATGAATCAACAATTACCAGACCCAGCACTGTCAGTCAATCTGCAGACACCCGCCGCCGCACTGAACGCCTCATTGCTGCCAAGAAGGATGATTTCAACCGTAAAAATGCTGCGAACAAGCGTGCTCTGACAGAACTCAACACCAGAACACAGGGCCTGGATATGAAGAAGATCAACGAGAAGGTTAGATCATATTCATCGTTCTTTGGAGCAGCCCTAAAAAAAAATGTGTGTCAGCATCCACATATAGAGCTGCACAAAATTAGAGAAAAGATAAAGACATACTTTATTTGCCACCACTGGAAATTTATTTTTTGACTGCACTGAGAACTGTAATTATAAAAGCAGTTAAACAAAGACGGTTTTCTGACTGTCTGGTAACCTGCATACCATATCAAAAGCTTGTAATCCTTTCCTTTTTCAGGTAGTAGTAATAAATGAATAAACAAGACTGCAGTAGAACCTACATAAGACCAAAAATGTATATACTGCAGTCTGCCTTTGAATAATCTTCAGGGGAAAACTGTCTGCAAACAAATTTTTCTTTCAGCTTATTCAGTTAAATTTAATTTGGATTAATTATGCTTCATAGTTAGTGGGGTTCAATTACGCTAGTTGCTTTAGCTTTAGCAGCAGATTAGCTGGTCTTTTTAAATCTCTTGATTGACTTTAGCTACTGCTTCATTTGGGCTTATGTTGATTTATCAGAGTGGAAACTTAATGAACAACAGCTAAGCAAACTTAGGTTTAACTTCAACCTTGGCTATCTCATTGGCTAGCATTCCCTAGACAGAGCTGTCTTGCTTTAGCTGTCTAGTTGTTTGCCTCTCTGTGACAATTTGATATGCTCTTTTGACTGAAATTCTACATTTCTATGAGATAATATTTATTTATATGGTAAAACAGATGACAAAAAGTAACATTCTGGTCATAATTGGACCAAATGTGTAGTTACTGCATTGTGGCTTTGTAAGTGTCTCATTACCACTCATACACCTAATAATGCTGATAATATCCATACAAATACAATTACATGTAAATGTATGCATGTGCCAACAGGTATGTGGAGCCCCAGGTGATGCTCCCTGCGGCGAAAGCCCTTGTGGGGGTGCAGATTGTCGTGACGATGAGGGGAACCGTCACTGTGGAGGCCTGAACTGTAACGGTGCTGTAGCAGTAGCTGACAGTGCCCTGGAGAGAGCCAGACATGCAGAGAAGGAGCTGAACAAGGCTATGGGAGAGGTGGAGAGACTCTTTATCAAGGTAGTCACAGTTACCACACCTTTTGGACTTGGAAAATATAGCATCACATCTGTTTGGCTACACCAGATATTGATGTTTATATTGTTATGTTAATATATTTCTAAAGCTGTCTTGTTGCATCAATATTAAAGGGAGAAAATTATTGTAGAGGAGACAGAAAAAGCTTTTTGTCCACTTCTAGTTAGACCAGAATGAAATGCAGCCAAGCCAAGATTTTCTGGCTATATCTCATTTGCAAGTTGGTTTGCTCCTCAACTTCACACTTCTTCTGCTGCTTCTGAGTGGTTTTTGATAGCACCAAGTGGAGTTTTCTTTGTATAAAGTGTTATACTGATTCATATTTATCTTTGTCCACTCACAATTTTTTGCTGCGTCCCTCCTATGTATATCACAGACTGAACCTCTAAGAATGGCATGAGAGATTGAACATTACAGTACTGTCCTAAAGTGATATTTAGCTTGTGTGTTTTGAGTAAACAGTGCAGCTGCATTCTGGGAAATTCATGCACTTAGACAAAACAGATTTCAGTGAAAAGGGGCACACTCAAAACCCTACACCAGAACCTTTTTTCTTTTAAATAAATCTTTGCAAAACACTGTATCTGAAGGTGAAATTGAAGTCAAAACAGCAGCTATGGTGAATATGTTGTATCTGTCAGCCTTTTCTGTTCTATATAAGCATTTCTGTTTTTCATTCAGGTGGCAGAGGCTAAAACCAAGGCAGAGGAGGCCAAAGGTAAAGCTCAGGCAGCTCTGGACAAAGCCACAGCCACCAAAAGCAAAGTGGAGCGCTCCAACAATGACCTGAGAGACCTCATCAAACAGATCAGAGAGTTCCTCACTCGTGAGTCTATAATAGTCCATTGTATAAGTTTAATATCAACACCTAGAATACTCATGTTGTCTCTGAATCTAGCCTCCTGTGTCAACCCTGCCACTTCTATCTGTCTTTGTTTCAGAAGATGGAGCAGATCCAGATAGCATCGAGGCAATAGCAAATCGTGTGTTGGAGCTCTCTATCCCTGCTTCGCCCCTTCAGATCAGAGAGCTTGCTGATGAAATCAAGGAGCGAGTTCGCAGTCTTTCGAATGTGGACGCCATCCTGAAACAGACACAGGATGATGTCCGCAAGGCAGAGCAACTGCTGCTGGATGCCAAGAGGGCAAGGTAGTAATAGTAGAATTAGACAGGGAAAAAAGAATCCTCTCTAAGGCCACCCACTTTCAATAACTTTGTTTTTGTCAAGGCATCGTGCAGAGGGGGTAAAGACCACAGCAGAGACAGTAAAACGGGCCTTGGTGGATGCTAAGACTGCCCAGACATCAGCAGAGAAGGCAATAGCAAGAGCCAAAGCTGACATTGGGGAGACTGAGTCCCAGCTGGCACAGGTAACCTCCTCAAAAAAAATTCACATTTCTGAGGATTTTTATTACCCCATAGTACTAATACCCATACCCTTACACTCAGTAACAGTGGTGGGAGAAGTACTCAGAATGTTTACTTAAGTAAACGTGACACTATCATATTGTAAATATACTGTGTTAGAAGCAAAAGTCCTGTATTCATAATGTTACATAAGTAAAAGTACAAAAGTATTAGCATCAAAATGTACTTAAATTACCAAAAGTAAATGTGCTCATGTTGGAGAGTGGCACAGTTCACACTGTACAGTATATACTACTACTGGATTGTAATTATTGATGCATTATTGTGCACATATTTAATATTGCAGCTGTTAAAGGCAGAGCTTATTTTAATTGTCTTATATGCTTATAATTTGAAGTACTTTACATACTGCTGGGTAGCTTGTGACTTTCCCACCAGGGATCAAGAAGGTCTTGTGATTACACAATACTGCATTGTGTGTTATTAATCTCATTCTGAAAAGTAACTTGTAACTAAAGTTATCAAATAAATGTAGTGGGTACAAAGTACAATATTTTGCTCAGAAATTTTGTGAAGTCAGAGTATGGAGTAGCAGAAAATGAAAAGATTCAAGTAAAGTACAGATACCTCAGGACTGTACTTAAGTGCAGTACTTAGTTACTTTCTACCTCTGCTCAATAATTGTCTTTCCATCCACCTATTTTAATGCACCTATTCTCAGTTTAAGCATGAAAGCCTCAGTCAAAGCCCCTGAATTTCTAGGGGATGTTTCAGAAGGATCAGAATTCATTTAGCTTGTTTATGCGCTCTTCAGATTGAGTCGGAGATGTCCAACAGTGAGGACAACCTGAAAGATGCCATGGACCGCATGCGCTCACTGGGGCGTGAGATCAATGTCCTGAAGACGAAACGTGCCAGCAACAGCATGGCAGCAGCCCGAGCTGAAGAGACAGCCACCATGGCGCGAGACAAGGCAAACGAAGCCAAGCAGGTGTGTGTGTGTGTGTGTGTGTGTGTGTGTGTGTGTGTTTACCTAATTAAAAACCTACACAGCTAATCCTTTCTCATGTCTTGCTCAGATTCTAGACGGCCAGCTGACAGATAAATACAATGAGGTGCAGCAGCGGGTTGACACCAAGGCCAAGGCTGTGCAGGATGCCAAGAAAAGGGCTCAGAGGCTCAGAGTTGAAGCAGAGCAACTACTGAGAGATGCCCAGAACAAGCTGAAGAGACTAGCAGGTGCTTATTATTATTATTATTATTATCTCTGTGTGTTTCTGGATCTACTTTATGCAGAGGAAGAGACAGAGAGGGTTTTTATTTGTTTGTATTACTTTGCACAAAGGAAGCTATGGGTTCTTCATTTGATAGAAACAGTTGTTGTATAATCCAAAAACTCTGAATGCATCAGTTTCATGAAAGCATTTTACTGTTCACACTGGTATAAAACTATCCATCCATCCATTTTCTATACAGGGTACACCCTGGACAAGTTGCCAGTCCATCATAGGGCTAACACACAGACAAACAACCACTCACACACACAGTCACTCCTACAGGCAATTTAGAGACACCAATCAACCTATGCTGTATGTCTTTGGACTGTGGGAGGAAGCCGAAGGTATAAAACTATTTGGATGCAAATTAAAATGAACAAATGTGAGACAGAGAAGATAGTGGCAAGCTATAGTTTTCAATTCTAGTCAGTTTAATTATTCATTCAAATTTTATTTATATGGCACCTTTCACACAGATTTGTGCAATTCAAAGTCCTATACAAGTGACGGACAAGCTGTGCATATAAACTTAAAGATCCATCCATCCATTTTCCTCCGCTTATCTGGGACCGGGTTGCGGGGGCAGCAGTCTAAGCAAAGATGCCCAGACTTCCCTCTCTCCAGACACTTCCTCCAGCTGGGGCACCCGACCGCGCTCCCCGGGCCCCCTCAGCTGGCTCCTCTCGGTGTGGAGGAGCGGCGGTTCTACTCTGAGCTCCACCTGGGTGACCGAGCTCCTCACCCTATCTCTAAGGGTGCCCCTGGCCGCCCTGCGGAGGAAGCTTATTTCGGCCACCTGTATCCGGGATCTTGCCCTTTTGGTCATGACCCAAAGCTCATGACCATAGGTGAGAATCGGAACATAGATCAACCAGTAAATCGAGAGCTTCGCCTTACAACTTAGGTCCTTCTTCACCACGACGAACCGATACATCGACCGCATTACTGCAGAAGCTGCACCGATCCGCCTGTCAATCTCCCGTTCTATCCTTCCCTCACTCGTGAACAAGACCCCAAGATACTTGAACTCCTCCACTTGAGGCAGGAACTCCCCACCAACCTGAAGGGAACAAGACACCCTTTTCTGACTGAGAACCATGGCCTCAAATTTGGAGGTGCTGATTCTTATCCCAGCCGCTTCACAATCGGCTGCAAACTGCCCCAGTGCACGGTGGAGGTCCTGGTTTGTTAGAGCCAACAGGACAACGTCGCCTGCAAAAAGCAGAGACGAGATCCTGTGGTCCCCAAACCGGACTCCCTCCGGCCCCTGGCTGCGCCTAGAAATTCTGTCCATAAAAATAATGAACAGAACCGGTGACAAAGGGCAGCCCTGCTGGAGTCCAACATGCACTGGAAACAAGTCTGACTTACTGCCGGCGATG